CGGGCATGACACAGGTTGTGTCCAAACGCTTCTACATTTGTTTCTTCTTCAATGATGACAATTGTGATAATAATGGTTAGTATCCACTGAGAGCTTACCATGTACCAGGCAATTTTCTAAACACTTGACACAGATCATCTCCCTTCATGCTCACAACCAGGAGGTAAGTACTGTCATTATCCCCATTATATGGTGGCGGGCTTAAGGCACAGAGAGGTTAATGTGCTCAGAGTCACACAGCAAGTGGGATAGCTTGAACCCAAGCAGTCTGTCCCTGGGCTCCCCCCACCAACGCGCCGCCATGTTTCTCAACACGCACGCACGGCCTCTCTTTCAGGTAGGCGTTATCATTTTCTAAGGGCTGATGGCAGTGGGTTCTGTACCCAGACCTGTCTAACATCCTTGTTGTTTTTATATTTCCTAGGTGTTTTTCCAGGTCTGACCATCTTGCCCTCCATATGAAGAGACATATCTAAAAAACGTAAAGGCCAGAGTTGTCATGGCGTCGGCCATTGTCTGAAGGAAATGCCGTGAGGCAGGGGACTGGACTTCAGGCGGGGACCCATTGCCTCGCAGAAGAACGTTCTCACGTATAAACCTCTGTGTACACACACACAGACACAGACACACACAGACACGCACACACGCACTCACACACACACACACACGCACACACTGTCATGCACTCAGCTATATTTGAAATATATACGTCTATTCTTTACGCCTTGCCCTAGCCAGATGGTAGAAGACGAAGAAGAAGGAAACCAGGTGAACTCAGCAAGGCAGTCTGGCTGCTTACTTCAGCACTATTGGAATTATTTCCCGCTGTTGCCAATGGAAATCAAAGAAAATGGATGTGACGTCTCTGCAGGTGGACGGCAGTAAGAGGGGCTTATTTAACTCGCTTCTCAGTGCAACTTGATGGGAGAATACAACGTCTTAAAGTTGCAAATGTGTAGCACTAATGTTTCTTTTTCAATAGTTGGGGGAAAAATGACCTAGAAAACCAAATTGCAGTTTGGTAGCCAAAATTAACTCTTGGTTTATTTGTCCTTTGTGTGTGAAAAGTCCTACTATTCCGTGCGTCCGACTTCCTCACAGAACTGTTGATCAGTTTTGGTTCTTCTTAGTACTATTGAGATCTTTCCAGTTGATACCAACGGCCTTAGCGGCGGCAGACTCTGGAATAACACCTTACACCTTTCTGGCCTGCATTTCTCTAGACTTCACTCTCCAGGGAGGAGTTTTCTTTTCTTACTTTTGACTCTTGCACACCATATGCACTAGGGATTCTGGAAACTTCTAGCATGACTGCAAAGTGGCCAAGAGAATAAAGTCCTTGATGATAAATCACAGTATATCCCTTGAGCCTCACCTTATTGCCAGTGCTAGATTTTTTCTTTTTAATCTCTGTTTTTTGCTAACGAAAACTTGAAAAGCTTATTTGGAAGCTTAAATGTTTTATCTTTTCTCCATGGACTAAACCTCTCCAGGACTCTCTCTCGGCACCTGGATACCCAGCTCTCAAAGCAGCCAATCAGATGGGACATCACACTTTTCTTCTCCCCCTTGAGGCATCATGACCTCAGCTTAGAGCGATCAACCCCGTGCTGTGTGTCATTGCTACCCTATAACCAGTTTCAGCGTAGATGTCGCTAGTCTCAAAGGGCAGCTGCATATTTAACCTAACTCTGGGTTATGACCTGACAAAAAGCCAAAAATATCACTCTTTCCAGGAGTGGGGAAAACGGAGGATGCCTCCCAAGTCTAGTGGCTTCAAAACACCATCATCCTCTCTTCCTCTCTCATACCCGCTGAGTCCCATCACCCAACTCGTTAAAACACACAATTCAGAATGCCATTGTGGGAATGAAGGGGGGACATTTAAGGAAAGGGTTGAAATGTTTCTCTCGTGGTCCGTCTGAAAAGGAGAGACAGATTTCTGATTTTTTTTTCTGGCTAGGCCCACCATGACTTGTGACCCAGAGCGCCCAGGAGCAACAGAGGCCTCACGCTTACTCTGCAATCTGACTCCGAGGGGGGTACATGCGTCACTTTCCATCCCATACACCCATCCAACACCGGTCTCCATCTCCCCGCATTCTTAGCTAGCTGGCACTGGCCTCAACTCCAAAGACTGCCTTTAGGACCATTCAATGGCCTATGCAAGCAAGCGGGGTGGTTATTAGGGCAGATTGTATATTTTGTATATTCTGGGACCATCCCTTCAAGACACGTCTCAAAAAAACAAAAATGGCATTTGGTCCGCCCGTGGTTGCTGCTCCTTCATACCAGCTGGCTCCCCTCCTGCCCTCCTCTGACTGTTTGACTCATTGACTGTTAAATGCCACCCCATACCTATTTGGGATGCAAAACTGAAGTCTTTAAAAGGAAATAATAATATAAGAAACAGAGACACATTTATGACAGCCACCTTCAAGATCCTTGGCATTTGGTTTCTCAGCTTTCTGCAAACTTTGATTTCACTGAAATGTTGAACCTACTCGTCGGAGGGTAAAGGAGCCTCCTTATCACAAATGCTGTAGCTGCCAATTGGACAGTTGGGGCATTCTGAGGTCTGGCCCTTAAAGTCTTCTTTCTCTTTTTCCTTTTTTCGATTTAGACCAAAAACAAAACAAAAAAAAACAAAAAACAAAAAACAACAAAAAAAGATAAACCACCCTAAACATACACACACACCCCAAATCTGCCCATTTGCCAGAGGCAATTCTGTATATGTTAGTCGGAGGGTATTAAAAAAAAATCAGTTTTATTCCAAAGATGTAAAACTAGACATGACTTAGAAACCATTTCTGGAGCACTGCTTGCTGACAATCTCGTAGCTCTCGACTGCATTCGAGTGTGTTTGTAGCCAGTCCATCAGGGCATACCATGGGATGATAATTGAATGTGTGGTGCATCCTTGCTGGATGAAGGATGTGTGAGGACCTGGAACCTCAGCTGTATTAAACTGTAGCGCCTCCAGTCAGTGCACTAGATGAAAGTTTAGACACCCCAGGTTTTATTGGTTCGATGATTTCCCTTTCTAGAGCCGTCTCCAGCCTGACTGCACGCACACCCCAGTGATGGCATTAGCCGTGGCTGCCACGACTGACAGACGTTCTCTCCCCAGCTGGAGCTGCTCTTGCCTCTCGAAATGCTATTATTAAGGGTTTATAATAATTTAATTTTTGAACTGACCAATGCAAGGCTCTATTAAAAAGAAAGTTTTTCAAAAAATGCAAAAGAGTAATCATTGCTTGTTTGCTCCCTGTTGTCATCTGTGGTCTTGAAAAGATCTCATTTGAATGTGGCAGAACAAAGGCCGTTTGGTCTTCATCGGTGTCTGAAATGTCTGGCAGTTCCTCTCTCTTTTGTATCGGCGAGGTCCTATGTAATCTGCTCCTGACCTTTCTCTGAGCGGGGTGCATTGAACCGCGATGGTGGGGCTTGCTTGCTTCAGGCATTTTTGACTGTGAGAATTGGCCTGAGAATTTGGTGGGTGCTAAGTGGATGGCTTTGAAACTATTCTTTAGCCCGATTGACACCTCTCAACGATAACCAGTCCTATCCATGGGGGCGGTGGTGGGGGTGGTAGCTCCGATCATCTTGGAAAAGGATTTGTAATAAAATGTCCATCATCTCTGAAGTGGCAGAGATGGTTGGAAAGAGCCTGCTGGAGTGAACAGGCTTTTCAAGAAATAACGTGAAGCTGGTTCGCTTCCAAGGGGACAGGTTATTTAGAACAGTGCTTTAATGGACATTTGAAACACGTTCAACCGCTTTCTCATTTAAACTGTGACCTCCTGACATTCCAGGGGATCTCAAATTTGAAAGGAAAAATCTGGCATGGTGTTTCTTGTGACTGTCCTCTCAAGCACGCTTTATCCAGGGTTCAGAGTTTGATGTATAGAAAAAGAGTGTTTCTAAGCCATTGACAGTTTTCTTTATTTCAAGTTGTGCTTCTTTCTCCTACCACATGGCTATAAGTCAAAGATGTGGAGACCTGAAATCATCATGCTGCTCCTAGCTCCTGGCCTCCTGCCCCACTGATGGTTGATTGGCCCAGCTTAATGCCTGGTGGTGATGAGTATTATGTCCAGAAAAAGAGATGTGTGGATTCCATGACAAAGCTGCATTTTATAAGAATATCGGAGACCCCCAAATGAACTTCATGCCGACCATTTCCTTCTCCTCTCTGTGTTCTCCCTTGCAAAGTCCTTCAGTGTCACCTGCCCTCCCCTCCTGCACCTCCTGTGCCCTTTTTACATCTTTGATTGCCTGATTATAACAGGGTAAAAAAGACAGCCAACCTCACATATGATTAGCAGAACTGATTCCTATTTTTTTTTTTAAATCTTCCTTGAATCTAGAAGCCAGAGAAGTTTTTTTTAAAGGATTTCAGTTTGGGATAAGCTTCCAGATTAGCCATGTCTATTTGCATCAAAGGGGAAATAACATGAGATTTTCAGGGCCGCTCATCCAGTGCATGCAGAACATTCTGCCTGTAGCCCCACCTCAATTCTTCAGCAAAGTCAAAAGAAATGAACTCAAATGGCAAGACCAACAAAACTTAGTCATTAGTTTTATTGGTTCACAACAGTTTCCTCTATGGAAGTCACTTCATAAAATATAAAATACAGTGCAAAGTGCTTTTGGCTTCTCTTTTGCACGAGTTGGTTTCAGGAGAAGGAAGAAGGTTGGGAAAGTCAGGGATGCAACATATTTAATTACAAAAATCAGGTTCATTGTTTCTTTTAAAAAAAATCTTACAAGGGCCAACATTTTTGGCCGCAGTTTTGCACCCGGATCTTTGCCAAAGTGAAAAGGCATTGAGTTGAAACTGGTTGAGAGCTACTTGTGGAAGCGTTCCCTGGCGTCTTCCGGAAGTGGTCACTGCCAAGTGTAGGGTGGGGGCAGGAGGAGAGAATTTGCATTCCGGGTCTGGATTACGTACGTTTCGGTAAACATGGTGATATCTCCGTTTGAAAACTAGAGGGGCTGGCCTGAGTATATATCCATGCCTCTTTGATGGCTTACTTTCCTCAGTGAGGATCTCTGGGAATACTTGAGATGAAACAACGAAAGTGTGTCAAAGGAAGCAAAAGCTGCTTGTAAATGTGAGATCCCATGACTAACTGCCTGAGGCTTCAGGGGTTCCTCTTGCTTTTAACACTCTCTTAAATCTCCTCTGTTGGTTCCTAATAGATCCCGGAAAAGGGAAAAATAAAGCTGCAGTTAACTTCCTGACGTGCACTCTTCCAATAGAGTACTGTATTCTTCAGGTGTTTTGCATTTACGTATAAGTCCTCGGGAAACAGGTATCCAAAACGGAGAGAAATCCTAGGCTGTCACTTCACAAATATCCCAAACGAGATACTCTTTTCAAACAGGGCTCCCTCTCAGCAGTCAGGAGGGAAGGTTGATACGTTCTTTGTTGGGGACTGTTTATACAATTTTTTTCAACTGTGAGCTTTGGAATCGTAAACTGCTTTGACTCCAGCTTCTGTCTACTGCCATAAAATGGACCCCACGTCAGAATAATGAGGGTGGTATGTGTACACACAGCTAGACGCGTGTGCGTGTGTACCTATTGTACCTTCGCAGAAGGAAACCAGTTAGGCTACTGACGTTGACGAGGAGTAGCCACCAGTGCCTAATGCCTTTGGGGGGGTGGACGCTTATAACTGCCAGTATGCTGGAAACACACTGGGAGCTCCGCGCAGAGGGGCCGGGCCGAGGGTGGGAAGAGGGGACATGTTAATCCTAGGCCTCTGGACCCGAGGCAGAATCATTTCTGCAAGTCCAGGTCCAGAAAGGCTTTGGGGCTCATTGGCTGGTTCTCAACATTTTTGTTTTTGTTTTTGTTTTGTTTTTCCCTCGGCATGCATTTTCTATCTAAACCCAGACTTTGTTAAATTTCTTTATCTTTCACTTCTGCTTCATTCCAGGGAGGAAAAATACACCTGTTACGGCCAAGATCTCCTTGCTAACACAGAGGCAAAAATAAATGTTTCATGTTTTTGAAGCCTCCCCTTCCTTTCCCTAAATGCCCCCAACACTCCTTCTCTCTCGTCACCCCCTCCCCCTCCCATCACATGACTTCCCAGCCACCACCACTTTTCTTTCAAGTCTCTATTATCCTCTTCACAGTTGCTTGAAGAACTTTATTTTTGCACTATACATTTTCTTTTTGCCAGATGTGTCTAACAAGTGTGTTTGGAGAGACCTACTCCCAGCCCCCTCCCCTCCCCCACCTCCCCCGGTCACATGCTCTCAGGCCTTCTCTGGTATTTATAATATATCACAGAAGTACCCAGTCTTATAGCCCTCGGTTATGCCTTTTTTTGACATTTTATTTTTTTAAGCTTTTTATATATATATATAAATATATTACTTTGTCAAGTTTTTTTGCTGTACAAAAGTCTTAAGATTTAAAACTATTATTTGTATTATATGATGGTGGTATGTTAATGTTACAAAATTATTAATGAAGAAAAAATTTATTTTTGTTACTGGTCTGTTTCATAATTCTTTTTTAAATTGGTATATTGTAAGATATCTATGCAAAAAATGTTATGTGACGCATTTTTATTTAAGAATGTAATATGTGTAATAAACAGTAGAATGTGTTTGGCCTTGGAATGCCTCACTGTATGTCTCCTTAACTTATTTCATTGGGGAGAAAAAAATCCTCAAAGAGACACAAATGGGTCCTTATGGACCTCATGAGAGTTTTCTTTCTCAGAGAGAGAAAGGGAAGCTGAAAAATTGTATTAGGTCATTTTTCTTTGGGAGGTTGCTGGGTGTGTGTGTGTGTGTGTGTGTGTGTGTATTTTATGGTTGTAATGAGGTAGCTCAGTGCCCAAATAAGAAGGAACACTGAAGGCAGTTTATTTCTTTGAGGGGAGGAAAAGAGTAAATGGTTGGAGGTTATGAAAAGCAATATTTTAGAACGAGGTGGATTGTGGGACGTTATTTGTTTGGGGGGTAGAGAAGCTTATTGAAAGCAGTTTATTTGGCGAGAGAAGCAGAAAGTTTGTTCTGGGATTGCACTTAATAGAGCATATTTGGAAAGGGTTACTTGAAGCGGTTGGTGGAGGAGGGGAGAAGGGCAAAGGTGAGAAGGGACAATTGAGGTGAGGGCTGGGGGGAGTTGATTTAGGGAGCAAGTCTGTGACAAAGTGGGGAAGAGATGACTGGCCGGATGCAGAGACATTTGGGTGGCTAGGTGCAGTACAAAATGCAGAAGCAGATGTCAGCTGCCTCAAACAGTGAGAAGAGGGTGACGGGAAGTCCAGGGAAGATTCTCAGAACTGAAAAGGACACTTACTAAAATCTCTCTTCCACACACAACTTCCAGGAAGGAACATCCTGGAGTAAAGAGTAAGGCGGAGAACCTAACTGGTGCTGTCAGCCCAGCTCCCATGCAGGGCGACGCCCCGAGAAGAGTGGTACCGCTCACTGGGGGCAACAGCAAGCACGTGTCACTTACATGGGACCCAGCGCTGCAAGTTTTCTTCACACACTCTGGACTCGGAAACGGCTCCAGTGCCGAATCACTTCTAGCCCACCTCAGATGATCTGATGAGAAATTTTTCAGTCCATTTTCCTTGAAAGATGATGGCCACAGTGCCTGAACACCGCCACGCTGACATGGGTCTATCTCTGAGCAGGTGACAAGGATGAGGAATGATGCAGCGGGCAGGGAAGGGAAGCTGGTGCATGTGTCCTCACCTCATGAATCTTAAGTTAGAACAGTAGATGCTTTGGGGGCCAGGACAATGTTTTTGAAAATTGTGAGGATCAGCTTCCCCATCTTCCGAGCAGACAAGTGAGTTGGACGACAGGGAAACCCAAGGCTGACTTATGAGACACTCTAGGCGCCAGCGGGAAAAACCCCAGCCTGGGAGTCCACAGCCCTACCTCCTGGTCCCCGGTCATTTAGTAGGTCCATGACTGGCTGAGTAATTGAACCATCTCATACCCAAAGTCCTTTGCTTAGAAATCTCTTTGCCTGAGGAAGAAGAAGACAGCTTTCCAGTATTACTTAGAACGAGGCTTATTTTTCTGTCAGAATAAGCCTGACATGTCAGAGGACATCAAATTGAACATTCTGGGTGGGGGACAACCCACACAGCTGAAATGATAAGAGGGGAAGGTGGTAAGTCTAATCTTTTTGCCATAAGGAAAGGAGATGGTTTACATAAGTGAATATTCTAGATGACTGAAGCTTCCATATTTAGAGACATAATTTTGGTTTAAAATATATCTAAAAATACATCCCCTACTTCACAACTTTTCAAGCATCCATGTTTGCCCTGTAAATTCAGGGATGACTCTAGACCGTCACATTGTCTGACCTCCCCACGAAATGACTCCAGTCTTTCTGCTGAGTGGTTCTGCTTTCTCCACTGCATCCTCCCTATTTGGAGGTTGCAAGTTCTTGGTGTCGCCTTCTAGCAATATTAATCTTCTCTTCAACTCACAGATCAGGGAGGCAAGCTT